TTTCGGAACGGCCCGTTCTGGCCCAATTATTATGTGTAAATTTCGTACCCTGGAACGGCCCGTTCTGAAAACGGAACGGCCCGTTCCATAGTAGAAAGTAACACAAATTTCCTTTTCCAGAACGGCCCGTTCCAAATTTGCCTTGTTTGGAACGGCCCGTTCTGGTATTGGAACGACCCGTTCCACCCAAAATATTTAGTTGATTTCAGTTACGTTGGAACGGCCCGTTCTTATATTGGAACGTCCCGTTCCGGGGTTCAGAACGTCCCGTTCCGATTTTGGAACGGCTCGTTCTGAGTTTTGGAACGGCCTGTTTTGATTTTGGAATGGCCTGTTCCGGGCTACTGAAACCACCTTATTTGGCCTTTAGGCCTTCTGATGTCTTGTCTTGTTGTTTGCCTACTTCGAAACCCCCTTTCCTTCGTAATGGAGGTCCATTTCTTTGTTTGTGTGCCCCCCGGACGAAATTGGGTGTCTACAATGGGGTGGTGGTAGGCCATGCTTCCATCCAGATATAGTAGTCTGGAATAATCATCTTGTATCTAATTAGTTTGTAAAACTACACCAAATTAGTCGTTTAGCCGGAAATATGAGTATTGAGTAAGTTAGGGAGGAAATAACTGGACTTGTGATTTGAAGTGGAGAAAAAGTTATGGGACAACAAGTCATGGGAAAGTAATACTCAACTTAGACGCAATAGAAAGTGAAGACTTGTGAACTACAATATACCAGTCTTAACCAGAGTTTAAGGTGCGTTTGATATACTTCCAGCACAAGAAGAATAATAAAAAGCAAATACTTAAGTTATAGAATAATAACTTATTACATGCAATGTATTTACATTTGTTTCATCCATATTTTCGTTTCCTTTCGACTGTCCTATGTTCTTTTTATCAAATAAGAAACAGTTATAGTTATACTACTTGAGAACTAATAGAATTGGTTTAATGATGAGACTTAAGACAATATACATAAGATTCTAAATTTAAATCTTGATATAATCATTGTAATTCTTATAAGTAAAAAATATTTATGCTATTTAATACTTTATTTTTTTCTTCCACAAATTAAGTTGTACAAAATTAACAAATTATAGATTTGAATGATATTGAGTTTAGATCTTTAAATGTGTACAAAATTAACAGGTTGAGATAGTATACTTGTATTATGTTTGTTCTAGGAAATATTTAAATGATATATTTAAGTCAAAGCATGACATTATGAATGTCTAAATCATATATTTAGATTCAAAATCATGACATAAATTTAAACTTCAGAGTTTTTTGAAGAAGGAGAAATAACAGTGAACTTACTGAATTGGTCTTTACAAGAGTAAAATAATATTTTTAATTATGATTTTATGTTTAAATTGAAAATCAAACTCCAATCTTTTATAAAATAAAAATACTAACCCAGTTGTATTAATAATCTTTAATATTTAAAGTTGAGATTTAAATGTATGAAAAGATTAATAGTGCATATTTTTGTGAAATACTATTCTCTTATATAAAAATAAATATCCACTCTTATTAATTGGTTACCACCTTTGCCGTAGGAATATCCATTTTTATCAAGTAGAATCAAAATTTTACATATAACAAAACTGACACACCTTACCGAATTAATTGAGCTGAATTTCTTACTATGTTACTTTCTTAAAATGTCTGAGATTTTTTTCATTTTTTTTAATGTTTATACTAAATCTGAATATATTACATTTATAGTTTCATTTTCTTTGAAAATAATTTGAAAAACCTTAAAAATATTTTTTTTCTATTTCTAAATTAAATTTAAATCATTTAATAAGATATCATACTTAAGAATAATCTTAAATCATAATTTATTTATTCATTGTAAATTTAAAATACAATTTACATATTAAGATATGTATTATTATAAATTTTAATTATACATCGCCTTTCTCCCTCAATCGCGAACGCAAAGACAGGGTTCGCCAGCACCAGCACCAGCGGCACCACCGTCACTTATCGGAATCCGCCACCGCCACCGCCTCAACGGAAGCCCTTAAGAAGGAACTATCTTATTGACTGTGCAATTCAAGCCTCTTTGACCCATTAATTGGTACTTTCTGCTGCAACCATACACCTTTATTTTGTATTGAAATCCGTTGTTATGTAGATGCTTTGCTTTAGTTCACGTTTTGTGCGATCATCTTGGTTCCCCAATGTGGCGAGACAGACAAAATTGTTTTTTTTTCTTTCTGCGTTTTAGGGATCCAACGTTAATGATAATTTGAGTGCTACTTTTTTTGCCCTAAACCCGCTTTGGGATTAGGAACTTCGAATTCAATTTGAAATGGAGAGGGTTTTTTTGTTTGCAGGGTTTTTCACTGAACAAGAACAAGCTGTTGAATAAAAAAGACTCAGGTGCTTGCGGTTGTAAACTTGCAATGTAACTAGAAGATTTTAGGCTGTTTGATTTGATTAATGCTTTGCATTGAGTTGGCCTTGGGAACTTAGCAATGTCTGTAATACGTGAAATCATACTTGTTTTTGGCCTTTTGCTTGCTTAGTTGGTTGCTTTCGTGTTTCCCCTTCCCAAGTCCCAATACAAAACTGCACAGCATCTTGGGTTGTTTCATTGCTTTTGTTATTCTAGTCATTCTATTAAAATCTCATTCCTGTTGTTCTCTCTTTTGGGTAATTTGGTCAGCCACTCAAATGGATTTGGAGACCGAAAACAGATTAGCTGCTCTGCTTATGAGGGAAGCAGCAGAATTACGGCGGCAGTCTGAAAGGGAAGGTGTTTTGGCTTATCTTCGTAAGCCTAATGTACGGCATCGGCCGAATTCACGCTTCCTCACTGCTACTGTACGTGGAGTACAACAAGGTTAGTTTTCATTCACTTGTTATAGATAGATCCATATTATCTTATGTTTTGTGACTGCTTTTGAGAAAGTTTTGTCATTTGTGTTGGGGTTAGGAAATAGTGTTTATATTACTGTTTCACTGTTTGATCTTTTCCTGATTGTGTTAATGGTCCTGTCTATGAATTGGTCTTTTCTTGTGAATGCTACGTGTACCAATGTGTTTGAAACAATACTTATTCAACTTTTAATTTGAGCGGTGGGGGTGGTTAGGAAGTAGCAACAAGGGAAACAACTTACTGTTGCTAGTGGGTACTCATGGCTTATTTGGGAATTGGATATGCAGATATTTTAGAGATCTTTAGGGTTTGTCTGGAAGTTGAGTTTTGGAAGGAAAAAGGAAGGGAGTAAATTTTTTTATTTATAATAAATATTCTTTATTTTTCTAAAATACTATGAAGTCTTGTTTTATCGCTTTACGGCCACTGACCCTACTCTCCAGTGGTGCTTTGGTCAACCCACAGCCTTGTGACACTGTTTCTGGCCATGCTTCAGTTCACACAATGCATCACATAACAACTCTCCTTTGGTCCCTGTTCTGTTCACATCCTTACTAGTCACTGATCACATAGGTCACTTTTTTCTTTTTAAAAGCATCGCTTTGTTGTGTTTTCTCTGTTTTTTCTTTTCTTAATGTTTTTGTGTTATGAAGGTAGATAGCCTCACCTGTTGTGTTTTATATTTCCTGAGAAGTCTTTGTGTTTTGCTAAGGTCTCTGTGTTTTAAGAAGTCTCTGTTGTGATTTATTCTTTTGTGATTCTTGACTTCTGTTGTTTGCACATGTGGGTAATTTATTAATATTAAATATTTATATATGTGTAAAATAAACTTTTTAACTGCAATTATCTCTTCAGTATAGCAATCATCCTGCTATATGTTATCCCACTGTAGCAGTTTTAGGGTCATTTTCTTGGCACTAGTGTAACTAGGAACTTAAGATTGTGATCTAGTATGAAGGTTAGTGATGTTTTATATCACATTATAATATATCACGTAATACCAATTCTAGAGTATTTAGTCTCTGTTTCCTTTTCCTCCCTATATACCTGAAGTCCTATAATTTCAACAATTAGAAAATCATTGATTGACATTTTGATATAATACATGCACATCTATAACAATTACAAACTATGAAGTTGTTAAAATCCACTCTATACTTTGATATAATACATGCACATCTATACTTTGCATTTTTTTCCTCTAAAGTACATCCCCTTTGAAGAGTTAAATCCTTGTCAATGTGTGAAAAGGTCACATTACATTAAGAAACATTTTTTTTTTGTTTTTGCTGAACTATTCTTATTACTTAAAGAAACTATTGAATGCCTTGTAAATTTCCAAGATATTAAATGTTTTTACTTTTAGTTTAGTAGTTTCTATTCTAATTCCTTAATGTATCCTAAAGGAACACATTAGAAAAACCCTTTATATATAAATGAAGCTCATGACTACTTTACCCAAGTAGAATATTGAAATTTAACTTCATTTCCGAGTTTTGTGACAGGCAAATATCCCATTCTCCTCCGCCTCTGTTCGTGAATATTGTCCAACAAATATGATGTCTATATGTTTAGCTGATAGTTTATCTATATTAATTATATTGAATATCTTTTGATATTTTCTACCAGCAAATCGAGCTGTGGAAGTGAATGAGATGTGGCGGTTGCGGCAAAAAGAACTCGAACTAGATAAACGGGTTAAAGAGAAGTCAATAGATAAAAGCAGTAGGGACAGAAGCCATAGAAATGAAAACCCATCAAGAGGCACAGGAAGACATGCTGGTAGTAGCACTAGAACCTCTGATTCGTGCTCAAGTAAAAGAGAATATGAGGTGGATAAACGGGTTAAAGACACATCAAAGGATAAAAGCAATGGTGACAGAAGCCATAGGGCTGGTAACTCATCAAGAAGCCCGGGAAGGCATGCTGTAGTGGTGGATAAAAGCAGCAGTGCCTATACTTCATGCTCGAGTGAAAGAGAATATGAGCATGGTGTGGAAGGTTTAAAGGATGAAGAGCTTGAGGAGTTTCTACACTCAAGGTATAATATCTCTCTTATCATTACGCTCTTTGTTGTTTTATGTGCATGCATACCTTCTTATAGTGTCTCTCTAGCTCTCTAATTGTTTTAAAACAAGAAAATCAATTTTGGTGCAGGACCAAGCGAGGCAGAGGTGCTGTTGGTCCAAGGATGGATGAGACTGGACCTTACCTTCCTCATTCAGATGGAGAGCCTAGTACTAGTCCTGTAAGGGAACGTCATATTATTTACGGTCCAGAGAGGCCTCTGTCATTGAGATCAAATGATTCTTCTTCTGAGGAGGAGCTTCATGAAGAAAGGCGGAAAAAGAGTAAAAAGTCTCACTCTAGAAGCTCGGACAAAGATAATTCTAAGAAGCGCAGGTCGAAAGATAAATCCAAGCATAAGAAAAAGAAAAGGGAGGAGAAAAAAAGTAAACATCATCACTGAGGCTTTTCTGTAACATGATATTCTCAGATGAAGGTTATAACCAGTGGTTACAGGCAAATTGGATGAAACTCATGTTTGTACTCTGCACAGATAATTTTCTGTAACATCAAAGGCGAGATATCAATTTCTGTTCTTATGGTCATTGGATGCAAAAACAAATATTAATATTCAATTGACTTGTATCATTGGGAGAACATCTGTATGGTATGCCTATGGCAGTAGAAGCCCCTGATATTAATATTTGCCCAACTTATCATCTCAATATTTAAGCTGATTATTTGCCCACTTAAAATTTACTTAAACAACTATCCAATACTTGAAGCATCAGCTAAGGGTTTAGTCATTTGCACTTGATTGGATTTCTTAATCTTTACTATCAATTGCTTACCTTGAGTTTTTACCCTCATTAACTTGTTTTGACTTTTGAGCAATATCAAGGAGATTTTCTTCTCCCATATCTTATTATCTTCCCCTCTTCACCCACTTTATAATTACAGCACCATCCACTTCAACTTTGGCATATCTTATCTCCATTCCATCACGAGTCATGGGATTTTCCCACATTGACAAACCAAAATCTATGTAGCATGTAAAAAATTCAATGTTGGCACATTTGTTTAACCGTATTGGTAGTGGCAACGGTAGATAACGCACAACTATATTCAAAAGTCCTACGAGGCTATCCGAGACCTGACAAAATGGCCTCCATTGTTGATGGACATATCGAGGTTTAGCCGGTGTTTGATTAGGCCTTTCAATACCAATTTACCAATAGATTATTTGCTAATATTAATTACTTAAATGATAGTAGTAAATAGCATAGTTAAGGGGCCGCATATGCAGAGATTATACTCCAATCGCTTGCAACAATATACATTGTCTCTGTTTTAGCCTTTAGGGAATATAATCTGGACTTCTGGTATATAATCTGGACCAATTTTACTTAATTGACTCAAACAAAAGGTTGGAAAAATTAAAATCAGTCCAAATTAAAGGAACAAAGATTCCAAATAAAAGAAAGCTTAGAAAATGAAAAAGAATAATAATAATAATAATAATAATACAAACATGCTAGTTTAATTCAGAGTGCATATCAAAGATCAACGCATCGGTAATTTCATTATGAATAAAAAAGTTTTATATTGTCCTCTAATATTTATTGTCTTATCATTTGTGATTTTTTCATAAACCAGATGAAATAATTCTCTTCGTGTTGATTAAGACTACTAATTGTATATTTATATATTTAGGATTTAAATTCAAGACTATTGATTAAGTCTCCACTAGTTAATCTAGTTAATCCATGTATTCAGTTGTTGAATTAGTGTATAACCTATAAAATATTTAATTTCATAAATCATGAGTTATCTTAACGTTTCTTTGTATAATATAAACTCTCTTAAACATGTACACGAGTCGTGTATAGAGTTGCATACACAATACATACAAGCAGCCTATCACATTCAAGATCCCAAACAGCTACTCTGGTTATCTAATCTAATCATCTATGAATCTAAACACCATCACAAGTACATGAAAGATAATTGTCACGAGTGTTCAAAATGATGATCCGTCTCATCAAAGATCTCCCCCTGCACGGAAATATTGATGTCAACACAAGATTTCTAGAGCAAATAAAATTGTTCATAATGTGACCTTAATTTAGTACCTGTAGAAGCTCTTCAATGACATCTTCCATAGTAATTATGCCAACAGCTTCTTCTTTTTCGGGCAGCTTTGGAATTGAATTTTCATCTATTTCCAAAATATCAGAGTACATATTCTTTGACCATTTTCTGCTCTGAGAACCACCCCTCTTACAGTTATTTGCGTTTTGAAAACTTTTCCATAAATGGAATGACATCTTGGTTTTCAATTTTTCCTGTCGGGGTGTGTTCTCACCATCAATATCCACCTTCACATCTCTTGCTGACTCTATTTCGCATGCATTATTATATGAGACATGGAGCGGTATTTTGATGTGAAAGAAGTTTTCAGTTTTAAAGAGAATCTAAATAAAATGTCAGCATAGTTTAACTTGATTATAGCATGTGCTTACCATAGGAATTATTGTTGGAAGATTGCTGCCCTGTCTTGTCACAATGTCTGATAACAACAGCCATGTGGCTATGGCCCTTCTGAAACTCATTCAAAATATCGTACAGTGGCATCGTTTCTGGTACCCTGTTAAGTGTTAACATATGTAATTTTTAGATATGAATGTATGCTAATACAATACCATTAATTTCGCTGGTTATATTATACTGTATCGTCCATAACATAAAACTTGGGAAACATACAATACCTTGGAATTCTGCGTATGGTCACACTTTTCACGGGTGCTTCATTCTCTAGGTCAATTGTCAATAAATTCTTGACCTGAAAATAAGGAGTGTAAATGCTTAATTACCAATCTCACTCTACAAAATTTACTGATATATGTGTTTAACATTAGCAGCAGAATTTCAGATGAACCGTATAGAAAAACTAGAGAACCAACCTCACTGAAAATCAATCCTTTTGACAAGATACCTATTAATAATATTACAGTTAGGTAAACTAAGTCTTATTAGCCAGCAAAGTTAATTAGAACACTGATGCTTTTGAGCTCTCTTTATATTCATCAAAGAAAGGGCTTATTGAATTGGAATTCAACTTCCACAAGAATGGGTGTGTCATAAAGACTTTGATTTATGTCAAGCATCAAACCTCCGAAAGTTTAAGATAAAATAGTTTAGGTGGATGCTCATAGATATCTTTTTATGTAACATTACGTATTTAAGTATTCGTTGAACTTGGTATGACTGCAAGTAATGGCAATGCCATATGTCAAGGCTGAATTTCAATTTAAGTTTCCTGATATATTAACTAAATTTGTGAAAAATGATGCCAGAGGGTAAGTGAAGTTCTAGCTCGATAGTTTTGGTCAAACAGATAAACACAATTAACATCTGTAATAAACTAATAATCCTCTTGGGAAGAAAGTTGACAAGTTGGATCTCAATCAAAGAAATTGATGTAAAACTGTATGTGGTTTTATGTTTTCACACAATGGAAGATGTCTTTTAAAGATTCAAGCATTAAAGAAAAATAACACTGTATACCAGGATAAGTCCAATAATATTTGAAGGCTGATCATGATAGACAGGGACTCTGCTATGCCCATTCTTCAATATTAGGTTCATCAGATCCCTGCTTAACAGAAAGTAGAAGTCCTTGATGACAGAAAATTGTATAAAATACAAAAGCTAGCTCACATTTATAATTTTGTGAGACACCTTACGTCCTTACCTATCAAGCTTTGAATTAATATCAATACAAAATGTTTCGGTTATGTGAGTCATGGCATCACTGGCTATTTTCTCAGCAAGTTCCAATGCTCCAGCAATGATTGTTGTTTCATGATGTGTCAGTTCCCCACCTTTTCCAGCCTAACACAATACTTCATTAGCAGGGTCAACCCAAAGGTAAGGTTACTAAAACTTAGGTTTTAGGCTCACGAACAAAAAATTATTTATTATTAGTTTTATAAATTAGAAAGGTTATATATATATATATATATATATATATATTAACAAAATGGCCTCATATGTTAGTAAAGAAAATTTAACATATATCTTTCTTATTTAAAGAAAAAAAAACTCTAAATTTATTTTAGGTCTCACTTATCGTTGGATTAAATCCTTAGTGCACGACATAAGGAAGCATTAGTGTGCAAAGGAAGTCTAAATAAAATAACCCTTGGTGACATTATTCACATTGGAAAAGAAAAGCTCGTGAACTGAAGCATACTGATGAAATAAATTAAAAGCACTGAAAACAAGTCTTCAATTTCAAGAGTAAATGAACAGACAAACTCATGAATTATAGATTCATGCCTTTGTTTCAATCCAAAGAATCATGTAGCTCTGATACAGACCTCATGGCCATGCAGGTTTACAAGTGTTTTCAACTCAGCTCGGTGGAAAAGGGCTTCATGTCGATGCCCTAGCAAAAAGTCCAACAGCTGGAATACCAAATAAAGGCATAAAAAGTCAAGAAGGAAAAGAAAATCAAGGAATAACAAATTAAATTTGGTCCAGGTTACTCAAGTAAAACTAAAAAAGCATGAATAAATATTTAATGTATGTCACCTTACTAATTGGATAAGCAACAGGAAAACAGATCCATACAAGAACACGGACAACTGGAGCCACTGTTGCACCAATTGCTAAACCATGCCGAGAACAAATTGACTGGGGTATAATCTTCACAAAAAAGTAAACAGATGTCAGAGAAGCCGAGTAGCTGAATGCCAAGATATTGCTGTGAAGTATTAAGTAAACGTGTGCTATACAGAAGCAATCCAACAGGGTTAGGACTCGGGAGTTAGGACCTTCATCACTACTAAATGTATCATTACAAAGTTTGGAAAACAAAGAATAGCAAGTAGCAAGTCTGATTTACTAACATTAACTACTACTCTCGATCTGAATTATTTTTACTGATGAATGAATCATGGTTGAAGATTGGTTTCTGACTTCCCCAATCACATTGTGTCAAAATGGCCATGGTGTCCTCAGTTTTTAACCTGTGATATGTTACATATGTATGCATTGCATCTGATAACATATTTATAAGAAAAAGGAAAAACAACTTTCTCACCTCACCAAACAGAAGAATTAATGTCACCGATATTAGGATGGCACCCCACCAAACGACCAGACTATCAAGGAAAACTGGAAGTGCCTGATAAAAACCACACCATTAGTGCACTATCCGATTTTAGCCGGATATTTCGGTATATCCGGTGATGAAGTACACATTAATACATGATTTCAGTTGTACCTCCATGGCTATTGCATTGCAAATTAGGAGGGTGCAAAGCAATAAATGTTGATTTCTGACAACAGGCAATATCTTCGCTGTAATGAAAAAAAAAAAAAAAAACAAGTTCAGACAACCGGAGATTCAATAACTGTATTAAAGATAAGATAACTCATATCTCAAATATATGTCTGAGGTCCGATTTATTCAGATAAAATACAAGTCGTTTGATCATTATATACTGATTCAGAATTGCTGAATGTATGGAAAAGTGACAGCACGGAATCCTTGTTTCCTATGGTAAAAATCAAAATAGGTTAGAATGCTCTCAACTCTAAGTCTCTAAGTTCAATACATGACTTAAACTTCTAATTTGTAAACAACCATAGCGAAGTTCATTTTATATTCTTATTTTCTTCATTTGTAAGTATTCATCGAGAAACTTATCTAAAGAGAACGTTGAATGCTTTCAAACCTAAGCTCAATGCATGACTTATAGTTTCTTTGGATAAATTTCTTCATAATCATTCATATAGAAGAGGAAAATAGGTAGGAAAAAATAAAATAAGTTTTTTCATAAACCAAAATTAACTTATACATAAACTAATTTATAAAAATTCTCTTATATAAACTTTTTCAAAAACTTATTTACCACTCATCATAACCTAATTTATACATAATCTAATTTTAGCTTATAAGTTACTTCCTACTTTCTGCAGAGAAAATTTATTCAAACACACTTTTAAAGTTGTAAAGAAGTTAGAGAGGAAGTGATATGAAAATTACAAGCATGATGACGATCTCTAGGAGTGCCAGACTTAGCGAGGACCTCAAGATCAACGAGACTCAATGACATGAGTCCTAAAGTGAGTCCTGACATGAAACCAGCGAACATAACAAGCACCTGAATTATCAGTATGCGTTTCCAAAACTCCACATTACAACATTCATACTTCACAGCCATTCAAACCACTCCTCAGTATTGTTGTTTGTTGTTGCCAAATGTGTGCATCGATAATGTAGCTAAATCGAAGGGAAGAGTAGGGTGTAGGGACCCACACCCACCTAAGGAACCTATCAATATCATGTGTTTTTTGGTTAATGCTGATGCAAGTACAACAATTGCTCTCTCGAATCGCATTTCTTGATTCTTATTCTGTTTCCCTTCGGTTAAATATATGAATGTTATCGCGCGCACCAATACTTGTTCAAACTCCAAAGACGCTACGTGTTTTTCTAAGAAAGAGGCATGTTTTGTTTTTTTCTACGTCTTTCTTGATTCTGGGCCTATGTTGTCCGTGTCCTGCTGTTGTTGGGCTTATGGGCCTTCTACCTTTGTTCCTTCGCAATATGAGTATATGACTTTATTTTATCTTTCTCAAAAATAATAAATGAATCTTTTTATTATAAATAAGTTAATTTATTTTTCGATCGATACAAATTAATATAATATAATTTTTCACAAACACATTATAATATAAATATTATATTCAGTCAATATCTTGGTATTTAATGTAATAACAAGTTACAAGTAATTGAAAACATCATTTTCCGCAAAATGCCGTGATGTAAGAGGCCCTTACTAACAAAAATAAAAGGAGAAAACAAATGCAATAAAGTCAACATAACCATAATTATATCTTCAATTATTATGGAGAATGTGCCCATATGTTTTATCCATACGCAATCAATTCAAGCACCCTATGTATGTATATACGTAAATGTCGGTCCATACTGCATGGTTGGCAATGGCGTGCTCCACTGCCTTATTACAACAAAATACTGATGTTGATGTACATAACATAAGCAAAATAAAGAAAAATAAAATTTGATGGGAACGTATTAACAAAATTAGATCCTCCCATGGATAGTGGGTTTGTCACGTTCCAATCCCTCTACAGTTATCTATATAATTATGTATCTACCAATCTAAACACCAAGATAATTTGTGGAAGACTAATTGGTGAGGTGCATGATATATCATGAGTGTTCAAAATGATAATCCGTCTCATCAAAGATCTCCTCCTGCACAGAAATATTGATGTGAATACAAGATTTCAAAATCAAATAACATTGTTCATAATGATGACCTTAATCTGTAGTACCTGTAGAAGCTCTTCGATAACATCTTCCATCGTAATTATTCCAACAGCTTCTTCTTTTTCGGGCAGCATTGGAAGTGAATTAAAATCTATTTCCAAAATATCTGAGTCCATATTTCTTGACCATTTTCTGCTCCTGGAACTACCCCTGTTGGAATTATTTGTGTTTGGAAAGCTTTTCCACTTTTGGAGTGACCTCTTAGTTTTCAACTTATTCTCTTGGGGAGTCTTCTCCCCATCAATATCCAACTTCACATCTCTCACTGGGTCCATTTCACAGGCATTAGAATAGAGAGACAGGGAGCACTTAATTTGATTTTAGCATATGCTTACCATCGGCATTATCGTTGGAAGATTGCTGCCCTGTCTTGTCACAGTGTCTCACAACAACAGCCATGTGGCTGTGGCCCTTCTGGAACTCATTCAAAATATCATAAAGTGGCATAGTTTCTGGAACCCTGTTAATATATGTAGTTTTTAGACAAGAATCTATGCTAATATAATGACATTAATTTCAGTGGTTATATTATACTATATCATCCATAACATAAAACTAGAAGTGTGAAGAAAAAAAATCAAATGGATCTGAATTGGTAAAAGCCCATACGATTCAAATTATTAAATTTCATCTATTTTGAAAAGATAAAAAAAAAAGTGATTTACTTTGTAAAAATGATTTGGTTAATCAATGTGTTTTCACATAGTGTTTCAGTTGGGTTCAATTTTATGAAAATCGATCTATACATAAATAAAAATTGAATAATCAAATTACATCCAATCCATTCAATTTTTAAAAAAATTCAATCCATGTTTTTTTATAAAAAAAAATGAACCAATTCTCTTTATAAAAGTGATTTGGTTAAACAAAATCGGTTTGATTTGATTTGATTTAGATTTTTTAAAATCCAATTCATGAAAAACCCTTCATAAAACTCGCAAAAATAAGCAAATTACCTTGGAATTCTGCGTATGGTCACAGTTTTCACAGGTACTTCTTCTTCTGGGTCAATTGTCAATAAATTCTTGACCTGAAAGCATGAAGTTTGCATGCTTAAAGTTAAAGCACATGTAATGTACAATCATATGCAGAAAAACAAATGATATAGAGTAAGCGCTAGAAAAATATGTAGATCAAAGGAAAAGGAAATAAAAATTAAAAACTTAGTATGACTCCCAAGTAATGGTAAAATGTCACATGTCAAAACCTAGCAACATAGTTTCGGTCAAACAAACAAAATTATTAACATCAGTAATAATCTTCTACGAAAGAAAGTAACATATGGCACTCAAAGAAATTGGTGTAGAACTCTGGTTTTACAAGTTTTCACATAAAGGAAAATGACTGTTTAATATTGGTATAGATTACAAATATTCTGCACCTAAAACAATCCTAACCAGATAGAACCATTATGAACTGTTGGATATAATATATTAATATTGAAGGATTAAAGAAAAATAACAGATTGTAGACGTACCAGGATAAGTCCAATAATATTTGTAGGCTGCTCGTAATAGACAGGGACTCTGCTATGCCCTTTCTCCAATATTAGATTCATCAACTCCCTGCTTAATAATAACCACTCAATTTGATGACAAAATGTTGTACAAAGTACAAAAGCTAGTTTGCGTTATGTAGTTTTTTGAATTACATTGAATCCTTAATTACCTATCAAGCTTTGAATTAACATCAATAGAAAATATTTCAGTAATGGGAGTCATGGCATCACTTGCTGTCTTCTCGGTGAGTTCAAGTGCTCCAGCAATGATTGTAGTTTCATCATGTGTCAATTCTCCACCTTTTCCAGCCTAATATAACACAATTCATCATGAAACAGAAACAACGTAAGGAAGCAAGAGTGTCCAAGTGAAGGAATCTAAATAAATAACCATATCAGAAAACAAGTCTTTTTGTTATCGATATAAAGTAATTTTATACTGATATCCAGTTACAAACTACTGCAAATGATAAGTTCAATAATTACCTTAAAAATTATAAAAATGATGACTTTTTATCAGTTGACAGCGTATTTTTTTTTAATTTTTTATATTATAGTACATAACCATTAAACCCAACGAATAAACATATTTAAAAAGTCTAGATCTATGCCTTTGTTTCAATCCAAAACATCATATAGATCTCATACAAACCTCATTGCCATGCAGATTTACGAGTGTTTTCAACTCAGCTCTGCGGAAAAGGGCTGCATGTCGATGCCCCAGCAAATAGTCCAATAACTGGAACACCAATAAATGCAACAAAAAAAAAAAAAAAAAACAGCAAGAAGGAAAAGAAAACGAGTATTAATGAATTAAATTGGGTCCATGTTTACTCAAATAAAACTAAAAAACTATATTAACAAAACTTCTGTTTATTGTGTCACCTTGCTAATTGGATAAGCAACAGGAAAACATATCCATACAAGAACACGGACAACTGGAGCCACTGTTGCCCCAATTGCTAAACCATAGCGAGAACAAATTGATTGGGGTATAATCTTCACAAAAAAAAGTAAACAGATATCAGAAAAATTTTGCACTGCAAGTGCAAGCAGAGTAACCAATTGCAAAGATATTCATTTGTTTTTAACTTGTGATATACATGTATTTATTCAACGTACAAGGAAAAAAAAGAAGTGACTCACCTCACCAAACAGAAGAATTAATGTTACTGAAATGAGGACAGCACCCCACGCAACAACAAGACTATCAAGAAAGATAGGAAGTGCCTGACATAAGCAATAATCATATCTAATATTTGGTATAAAGTATAATCATTTGATTAAATACACACTAATAATTTTAGTTGTACCTCCATGGCTGCAGCATTGCAAATTAGAAGGGTGCAGAGCAACAAATGTTGATTTCTGACAACCGGCAATATCTTCGCTGTAATGACAAAAAATAAGTTCAAACAACTTGAGATTCAATAACTGTATAACATGTATTTTAATTTTATTCCTATTTCTGCAGTGACAATGCTCTCTCAGTCTCATATTAGGAATAACACACTGTATAAGAGCAGCTCACAACTTAAGTCTTATTTGAATCAAGTTATTAAAAGTAATTTATGTATAAGCCAATTTATAGAATCTTTCTTGTTTAACTTCTCTAAAAACTGATTTAACTAATGCTTTTTAACTTGTAGGAGAAATTTAATTCAGGTTATTTTCTTACAAAATATGATTGAGTGCCCTTAATTTATGCTGTTTGATTTCTTTCTCACTTTTTACTTTCCAAAACTGTTACTTTAAAAGCATTAAACACTACTAAATAAGCAATTTGTCATTTATAATCTATTAAAGTTTTTTGAAAATTGTTTCCAAAACAAGTGTTTAAAAAAAAAGACACCGAAAGAACTGAGATTCTTATTTCCTTTTCTGTTTTGTGGTCCTAAAATCAATGGTACGGATCGTGGGAACCTGGTCCAGATATGCCTGTGATAGGTTTGTACTTTGTAGAGATTTATTCATGATGTCAAAAACTAAATACTGAGGTAGGTGAAACTAAAAGAAAGCTAACTAAAGCGACCTTAATTCAGTTCAGAATTCAAAAAGAAACTGCTACATAAATAATTAGCATATTTTTCCCATGAAAAAAGTAACTCAGGTAAAACTAAGGTAGAATCAGAATGCTTAACTCTAACCTTAGTAGATGTTTCAAACTTCTTAAACAAAAATCTGAGGACCTTATGTTACATTATGATAGATTCACCAAGACATGAAGAGAAATTACCAGCATGCTTGCGATCCTGACGGGTGCCAGACTTAGCTAGAACCTCAAGATCAACAAGACTCAAGGACATGAGTCCTAAAGTGAGCCCTGACATCAATCCAGCAAACAACACAAGCAGCAAAATTATAAGTAAACGAATGAAAAACTGAGTTTCACAACACTCATACTCCACCGCCATGTCTTCCACTCGTACGTTGCTGTGGTTGATCAATGTTCTTGTTTTTCAATCCTATAGCTAGAGGCACCGGAGGTCCAAGACATCCATTGCTAGAAAGGGTATACGAAATATGTTGAAAAGATGTTTTTTTATTTAATAAATGGAATTTGATAGAAGGAGGAGGAGTGTTCGGTTTGTTTAAGAGTGGCTATTCCTGAATGAAGACAACGTTGGCAAATCTATGGTATAACAATAACAAGTTTCTATTTGTTTAGGTCGGTGAGAGATGATCGTCATCGATAATATAGCTTGGGCTTGCGAAGAGAGGGAGGGACCCACCACAACTTGGTCCTTTAGTAAAGGTGCCATGTGTTTTTGCGTCGGATAATGCCCTTTACTACTCATGCAACTACGATAACTGTTCTTCATTCTGATTCTTATTCTGTTCCCTTTTGGTAAATAAATGTTCCTCATCCTCGTGCCACTACTTGTTGGAGAAAAGATAAAAGAGAACCACAGAACAGGAAGGAAGTAGATATAAGTAGATCAATGTTCTCCTACGGTATAACGGCTATCTTATACTCTAGAAACTATAACCAGTCTCAATTTCATTGCAGTACAATTTTATCGTAGCCTTGTAAAAACCGGAGTTAAGCACTTATATATTGTCATTGTAAAAATTTTACTGACAATGAATCATATTTTTTAATGGTATTATGTTAGTTACTTATTTAATAAAATAAAAATAATTTAAAATATATGATTGATTGCTAGTTTAAAATTTTTTACACTGACAGTATATAGATGATTAACTCTAAAAACTGTTTATAATAATAATAATTACATAAATTTTAAATAACTCAAATATTAGGAAACATGACTTGCTTACCTGAATCAGACGGGATACAAGGGGGATTAAAATAGAAAAATAGTTTTACCAATCTTTTTTTTATTTTAACACAAATGTTTTTATCAATCAGGGTTCTTAATAAAGAAAAAAAAAAATCAGATGATATTCTAAAATGGTCAAATTTGTACTGGGGAAGTTGACTTTAATTACAGAAAACAATCTCCAATACATATTTACAGTTTTCCTAAATATAAATTATTATAAGACTGAAAAGATATTTAGAAACTGAGATACAAACAAAAACGCTCTCGTGATATTTTTTTTAAAATTTTTTCTTTGCTAATTGAAATTTTAAATCAATATTTGATGATGAAACAGTTTGATTTTATTTTATTTTATAAGTATTACTGAACTATCTAACGATTAAAGTGTCTAAAATTCACGACTCGTTATTATTATTATTATTACATTGCAATCGATCAATAATTGTCAGATACTTCAATCAATCATAGATTGACTTATTCTCTTGTCTAACTCTGATATGCGAATATATATATATTACTTTTATAAACAGATAAAAAAAATATTTTACTTTATAATAACTATTTAAGAATAATTTTAATTGATGGATAATATATATTCTGCAGCATAAAAAACTTTATATGGGCAAACTTATAATTTTTTTTTCTAAAAATAGTTAAGTATATATTATAATAATAACTTCTAAAGATTATTTTTTGAAAGTTATATTTTTTGTTTATTTTAAAGTAAATATTAAAGCGGAGCTTGAATCATGCGTATAAAGTTTGAAGTGATTCTTTATAGGATTGTTCAAAATTAAACTAAAATATTTTAAATCGTCAAACCAAACGCTCAAAACCTAACTAATCTGCATTAATTGCACGAGTTTCAATTTTTTATACAATTTTTTCAATAAAAGAAGGACAACTTTATTGTTATATCATCCCTCTTGATATATGTTCCGGTAATACCGTATTTTTTATTAATTATTTTTTTTATCAATAATTGTGTATTGTAATATTTTAGAGTGTTTTTATTTAGAGAAAAACGTTTTAGAACCGGTAAGTTTTCTCTACATTTCTAAACTCTTAAGAGAGTGGTTCTTTTCCAAGATATATTAATTAGCTATGATTGTCAATTTAGGCCACTAGAATCGTGAATCAAAAATGTTAAGTCATGCAAAATTTTCTCGAAGGAACTCAAAGTTATTCATCTTCCTTTTTTCTATTTCTCTTAGATTTTGAGGTAAGGGAAGTTAGAATTGGATTCTTAGTTAATTTTTTGTTGTATGTTGTTGAATTACATCTATGTTGCGGCTATGTTGAGGATTGAGTGATGAAATTCATGTTTTTGGTGAGTTTTGGATAGGTGAAGTATGTTGAGGTGATCTTGATGATTCTTGTTTGTATATTATTGCATGTTGTTATATTGGTGTGGATTGAGTTGTTGATGGTGAATATATATATATATATATATATATATATATATAAACGCGAGAGAGGGCACACGAATATAACGAATTAAAGATGCAAATAATTGAAATTGAAAGCGTAAAATTAAAGAGGAAGGAATAGATAAAAAAA